GCTAAATATCCCAGAGCCAAATGCCTCGATGCCGAATTCCCCAGGCACTAAATTCCCCAAACATTAAATATCCCGGAGTTAAATATCCCAGAGATTCCCTGATGCCGAATTCCCCAGGCACTAAATTCCTCGGGCACCAAATTCTCCAGGCACTAAATTCCCCGGAGCTAAATGCCCTGGTGTTTAATGCACCCCTGGAGCCAAAATCCTCGGTGCCAAATTCCCCAGGCACTAAATTCTCTGAACGCTAAATGTCTCAGCATTCAATTCCCCGAAGCTGAAACGTCGCGGTGTTTAATGCCCCAGAGCTAAATACCCCAACGCTAAATTCCTCAGGCACTAAATATTCCAGGCACTAAATTCCCCAAGGCTCAGTGCCACAGCAGCTTTCGGCTCATCCTGCTTCAAACACACCAGTGAAAAAATTCACATTAAAACCGAAAACAGAGACACCGTTTGGGGATATCCCCCCCTATCCCAGAATTTAATCCATTTTCAAATTAACTGGGAGGGAGGGGGGTTAATTAACCCAAGGATGGTGCAGATGTGAAGCTCTGCAAGGTAGTGCATTCCCAGGGTTGGTTGGGAAATGGGCTGAATTCCTGTATGGATCCCATAGGATCATCATGAGCTGGACATTATTAATGCTAATAAATCAAGGATTTTAACTGCAGGGAAGTGAATGGATCCAGCAAAACAGCCGGTGCTGGTGGGGTTGGGGATGGACGGACGGATGGTGGGGCCGGAGCTGACACCAAGTGGATGGAAACTGTAATTCCTGCTCTGGGAGTAGAAAACGGAAAATTTGGGGGCAAAAACGAGGGGTGAGGAGGGGAAAAAAACCCACCAAAAAAAAAAAAAAAAAAAAAAAAAAAAAAAAAAAAAAAAAAAAAAAAAAAAAACCCAAAAAAAAAAAAAAAAAAAAAAAAGCCAACGGGTGGTGAGAGGGGGACGGGACGAACTGACCACGTCAGCATGAGATTTCCTTTGGAAAAGTACCCAAATCCACGGCAAATAAACGGAATAAAGCCCCAAAGGCGGCTTGGGGTATTTATGTAACCTTGGTCACGTCTGCTCTGACCGCTCCTGCCTTGGAACGGGGGTGCTGGGGGTGCCCAGGGAGCTCTGGGGGTACAGGGTGGGTCTGGGGTCCTGGCACCCCAGGGTGGACGGGGTGGCACTGCCCAGTGGCACCTGGGGACCACTCCAGTGCCACCTCCAGCACACCGAGGAAAAAAGCCAGAAAAAGTCAGAATTCTGCCCCTTTGTACCCCCAAAAATCCTCTTTTTCTCGGAAATTACTTTTTTTTTCCTCAAGAAAAAGGCCTTTTCTCTCCTCCAAAAGCAGACTTCCCTGAAAAAAAAAAAGGCATTTCTTTCCCAAAAAGGCATAACACCCCCCAGAAAAGCAGCTCTTCTTCCTCAAAGCACTAGTTTTATTCCAACAAGCCTCATTCCTGCAAAGAAAAGAACACTTCTTTTTCCCCACAAAGGTTTCCTTTTCAAAAAAAAAAAAATACTTCTTACCCCAAAATTTATTTTTTCTCAAAAAAAAAAAAAAAAAAAAAAAATTCTGAATCCACTATAGTATTCTGAAAGCTGAAAAAAAAAAAAAAAAAAAAAGCACTTTCCCCCCCATTTTTCCCATTAAAGGCTTTTTTGGCTTTATTTTTCTCACCAAAACCCATGTTTTTGTCTCCAAAAAGACATGTTTTTCCCAAGAAGAATTTGACTTTAAAAAAAAACAACTTTTTTCTAAAAATGGGGGTTTTTCCAAAACAAGCATTTTTTTTTTTAACTCAAGAAAGAGGGGATTTTTTTTTTGTCTCTCAGGAAAAGTAGCTTTTCCAAAAAATCCTCCTTAATTTAAAAAAACCCCTTTTTTCCCCTAACCCATTTCTTCTTGTAGTATGTAGAGAATTTCTTTGTAGACCTCTAAAGACCATTTCCTGCCTTTTCTTCCTGTAAGAAAATTGGATATTTTGGTTTTTTTTAAAAAAAGCACATATTTTTTCCAGAAAGTCTGCTTTTTCCAAGAAAAAAAGCCCTTTTTTCCCCCCAAAGCTTTTTCTTAACAAAAGCCTCTTAAAAAAAAAAAAAAAAAGTGCGTTATTTTCCACTCCAAACCGTGCTTTTATCTTTTAAAAAAACGCCTTCTCTTTAAAACAATAAAAACATCTCATTTCCTAATCCAAAACCCCCTTTTTCCCCCTCAAAAGCTTTATTTTTTTTAAATCACCTTATTCCAGGGAAACATTGTTTTTTCTACAAAACCCTTTTACCCAAAGAACGAAAAGCTGTTTTGCTTTCCCCAAAAAATCCACTTTCGCAAACTTAAAAAAAAAAAAAAAATAAATAAAAATCCAGCGAGCGTCTTTTTACAGAAAATATATAATTTTTTTTTTCCTTTATTCCTTTTTTTTTTTAAAAAAAATCAATTATTTTTCCTAGAGCGCCTGGTAGGCCGGATATGATCCGGCTCCGCTCACATCAGAAAATATCCGGCCCCATTGTTCGGGGCAGCCGCGCCGTGTCCGTGCTTTGTCCCCTCGGGACCCCTTGGGATCCACAGAAATATTTGGAGAGCCCCAACGCGCGGGAAGGAGGACGAGGAATTTTTTTTTTTTCTCTCCCTTCCCCCCACCTCCCACCCCACCCCAATTCCACTTTTATTTTTTTTGGGGCCAGCTATGATTTTTTTTGTACCTTGGGACGGAAATTTCCGGCTGGAAGCCCAACCCTTGCGCCTGGTGGGAGGTTGAATGGTCGCCCCGCTGGGTGGGAACAATATGGATTTGGGATGAAAAGGTTTTCCCGGGCGGTTCCCCGGAGCGATCCGGAACCGCGGCCCGGATCCCGCGGTGCCGGCGGGATGCGCGCGGAGCGCCGCGCTCCCGGGATTTCGGGGGGTTCCGTGCAAAGAGCCGCAGCCAGGATGGGGCTGGGATGAGGATATGGGGTACATCCCTGTCCCAAAATATTCGGGAGCCAGGGATGAGGGGCGGGATGTAGAATGGGGGAGTCAACCACCAATGATAGGGATGTAGGGTGAGGGTGGGATGTGAAATGGGGATTCGTCCCATCCCTCCCATCCCATCCCATCCCATCCCATTCCCATCCACCCCATCCTATCTATCCCCATCCCATCCATCCCATTCTCATCCCATCCCATCCCATCCCATCCCATCCCATCCCATCCCATCCCATCCC